AGATTATAATTTACCAATCGAAATTAATAAAATGTGAATTAAAGGTAAGATAACGAAGAATTTGGGGTTTTCGATTGGAGATAGAACACAGTAGGGGAAGGTGTCGCCGCATTAGAACATCAATGCCAACGAATTTGCTGACGTGTTCAGCGTCCTCCGATATGGCCAACGATCGTAGGTCTGACACATGCGGGTCAGGGGTTTCGTATTGGATTAGGCTCTGAGGCCCGCGGTACAACTAACCATTCATGACCTAAGTTATATGGATTTCATTTAGAGTATAAAAGGAAAGAAGAATGTGTCTTAATTCCATCAAGCAATAAATAATGAAAATTACACTAATCATCAAAATACATTAATTAATTTTATAGATGTTATTTAAAAAATTGTAGACCATTTGTAAGATAATAACATAATCCAATACGACATGCCCGACCCGCATGTTCCGAAAGTTGGTGGTAAAAGAAAAAAAATCAGAGAGAATCTTAAAAATGAAACTTGCAAAGAAGGTTAAGACCAAGGATGAGAAAGGAGAAACTAGTGTAAACCCAATAGACCTTAATGAGTAGGGAGTATGTTATGGTATCATGTGGTTATGTTTGACAATAAGTTATAGTTGTTTGGTTTGATATTTAGTTGTTTGTTTGAAGTTAGTTTGTTTGGTTTGACAATGGTTTGTACTATTATCATGCTTTGGGTGTCCTTTAATAATAATAGGTTTCAACGTGCATGCATTTAATTCCATGATGTAACATGTGGTCCTTATGTTCTTAGTGGACAGATATACAATTATTGTTAACAATTTTCAATGCTATTTAGCAACGTAATATATGTAATTAAAAAAGGGAAGGGTAATGACATGTAATTCCAAAATTTAAGAACATGTAATCCTTGTGTTCTTAGTGGACCGATATACAATAACTGTTAACAATTTTAATATGCTTTTTAGCATCGTACTATATGTAATGACATTAAGGGTGGCATAATTTCACCAAATTAAGGGTAATTCGCATCCATATATGTAATTAAGGGTAATGACAAGACAACGATACATTGAGGTCACTTCACAAAACTACAAATTGTTCTTAATTCGACTACCTAAATACATTTGATAACAACTTATAAATGATTAAACCCAAAAAAACCCAACTACAAACTAAAATCAGCTTCAACATCAACCCTTCTGATTCTAGCTTCTTCTTTCTAAAAATATGACTACATTTACCTTGTTTGGACATGCATAAAATGGTTTTCCAGGGTTAGTGTAACATTCCGTTTAAATTAAATAAAATAAGTAAATATATTTATCCCTAAACCTCGAGATGTAAATTATATCATTTTTCTTATGATATTTTATTGTAGCCCTAAATACGTGAATGTATTTTAAGTGTTGTTTATTCCTAAAATGAAATTTAAATAAAGGGTTTGGTGAGGAAGGGTGTAATTGGCATTAATATTTGTCTTGAAAGGCTAAAGGTTACTTTCATGGTTTGTAGTGTTAAGAATATATGAGCATGCAGCTTAGGATAAAACATTTAGACTTATTTTGTAGTTGTTGGACTTAAATTGGAGGATTTTGGAGGCTAAGGGGTTAAATGGTAGATTATGGAGTTGTTTTGAAAAGAAATTTAGGAAGGAGGGACCAAAGGTATGTTTTGAATAAAAGTTTGAATAAGGGGCACGGGAATAGACCCGGTACCCTTTTCCTCTCATTGTTTGGAATGCAACCCTAACCCTAGACAGAGGATATCCGCCATGCGTGATCCTTTCAGCCGCCGCCACCGTCTTGCTCGTTTTTCCGATCAGTCAAGGCGTCGAGCGTCGCAGCTTCTACCTTCCGGTGAGAGCAAGATGACGGCATGAATGCTGGGTGTTTTTGTTTTCACCATTCCATCGCCTTCCTTCCTTCTTGTTCTTCTTCTTTTCAATCGCCATTCAAAGCCGCGTATGGCAGCTATCGGTGTTGGTCCCGACGCCTTTCGCTCCTGATTATGCTTTTCATCAACTAGCCACCGCCGCCACTCGTGCAACCTCCGGCCTTCCTTTTCAGAAGCTCCGTTCGATGTTTAATAAACACGATCACCGATCGATCCAACATGGGCCTACATACCCGGTTCATGAGATCCATGTATGTTGCTGGCATGTTGGTGAGCCCGAAAGGAATCACCATAAACTCGTAATGCCCATAATTAGTTCAAAAGGCCGTCTTCTGAATATCATCCTCCCGAACCCTCATCTGATGATAGCCAGACCTCAAATCAATATTGGAAAACCAAGACGCCCCTTGAATCTGGTCAAATAGATCATCAATCCTTGACAAAGGGTAACGGTTTTCACCATCAGTTTGTTCAATTATCGATAATATTACTAACCATCATTCTTCCTGACGAAAAGGATCGGAGCTCCCCATGGAGAACTGCTCGGTCTAATGAACCCTTTCCCCAAAAGCTCTTGCAGTTGTGAGGATAAGTCCTACATCTCGGGAGGTGCAATACGATATGGTGCCTTAGTGATCGGCGCCGCACCTTGAACCGGATCAATCCGGAACTCCGCTTGCCCGTCTGGAGGCACACCCGCTAACTTCTCGGGAAAAACATCAGGAAAATCACATACCATCGAAACGTCAAAAAACAGAAGTCAGCCCCTTCTCCATAACCTGAGTATGCACCACATATGCCAGAAAACCCATTCACCCATCCGGATAGGAATGAGATCAATCGAATATCCTACATCAAAAATCTCCAGCAAACAACCCCGATAAACATCCGTAGCTAAGACTGGACGCTCATCCGCTATCGAGAATCTCAAGGGACTTCTCAAGGCCTCACGCGGAATGCCAAAATTGTGACTAAAGGATGATAACACAAAAGACCGACTCACACCTGAGTAAAATAGCACTAGTGCAGGCACACAATTCACAAGGAACGTACCCACACCATTGACAACATAAGCAATATTAATAAATTAATAGAATATAAGGAATACATACCAGCCACGACATTTGGAGCTGTGTGGGCCTCCTCTGTTGTCAACTGAAAGGCACTCCCCCGAGCCGTCGGTGCCTCGGCCTTCCCCTGCCGACCATCAGTGATACACAATGTTACTGGGGCAGGAGTCTGAACCATCCTGGATGCGAGTTGTTGACAATCGGCCTTCACATGTCCTATCTAATTGCAGGTGAAACAAACTCAAAACCCCTTGGGAATTCCCTAGCTAAATGCCCCTCCTTGCCATATAGGTAGCAAGCCAACCCGGATCGACCTGACCCCTCTTGAGCCTTGCTGCACTTCCCACAAGTGCGGCACTTCTGGCCTCCAGATCTTTGATCAACACGCTTAGCCCACTTAGTCGCCGGTTGCGACAGCACTTGAGTTGTGATATGCTAGAAAGGATTGAGTCAGAATTTTAGGGGAGGTCTGTGTGGGTATCCTCTCCTGTTATCATAGTACAAAAGAGAGAGATGGCCGTTAGTCAACGTCCGAGATCAATTCTCGGGACGAAGCTCAGACGATCAAGTTAGTATGAGATCCGAGAAAGATACTAGAAGATTACTAGAAAGTGAGAAATCTGTCCCCTTCCTCGTGAGGAATGAGGATCCTTTTATACCTGTTTAAGAGGCGAGTCCCTCAAATGATTTTGTTGAGGATTCCCCTGTGGGGTGTGATGTGGCGGACCCATATTAGAGGGTCCTCCGTCACGTCTTTTGCCTCATTCCCTCATTGTCTAGGAGGAGATCTTCTAAATGTTTACGAAGATTGTGGCTATCGTCTAATGGGCGAGTGGGACTCTCTAACTCGTCCCACATTTGTTGGGGTGTAACTTTCTGGAGAAAGGGTTAAGGCACGGCTCTACACCTTAACAGCCATATCAGCGCTCTTCGCGTTGGCGAAGGCCCAAACTTGGCTTTATACTAGGTTTTGAACAGGCCAAGCACGATGTTAGTTTGACTATCGTCTAATGGGCGAGTGGGACTCTCTAATATGTGTCAGTCCCATTGGGAGTCGGTTCGTGACGCCAGTTTTGCCTTTAAAACCCCCACTTTTCCCCAGGCTTTTCATCATTACATCCCCGTTTTGGCTTTGTTGTATCAATCCGGGTATTCCTTTAACTTCCTTTTCGATTTTACATACTTTTTTCGATAGTGGACCGTTACAGTAGAGTTCCTACTGCCAAGGAGTTCCAATTTCTGCAAGACCACTTCGACTTCTTACCGGAGCATGTTGTAATGATTCCGTCAAAGGGGGTATCGATCTATGATTTCCCTCAAGAGAATATGGGAGTTCTGATCCCTTTATTTGAAGCGGGGTTACTCTTGTCGATATCCGATTTCTTCAACATGATTTTTGACCACTATGGCCTTTCCGTCGACAAGTTGACCCCGAGCGTTGTTAATAAAATCGTTGGTTTTGGACTGATTTGTTGATCTCTGGGTTATGTACCAACTTTTTGGGTTTCCGGTTACTTATTCTGTTCGACTACGAATTCCAGAGTCCGCACTTTAGCGAAGGGAATAGGCATTCGTCAGTTGATTTCTGAACAAGATGCTGCGAAGAAAAACTGGCAACGATAGTGGCTTTGGGTTAACCGAAACCTTGTAGGGTGCGGGTTTCGTAGATCCCGAGACTTTTATGACCATCTTCCCAAGTTGTTCAGGAGTAATCCAAATCTTGGCAGGTGTCTGGGAAACATCACTATCATTGGGAAGAATTCATTCTTGCAGTGGCCGGTATGAGTACCGTCTGGAGGGCTTGCGGGAAGATGGCACAAATGTTCATCGTGAGATGCAGTATTAACTTATCTCCTTCTCCCCCCCCCCCCCCCTTTTTTTTTTGAAAAAAGAGTGAGAATAGAATATATTGATGGCTTGTGAGATCTTATTTTTGGCGTTTGTTTTCACAGGTCCTGAAGTCGAGATGTCTTTGGAGATGACCCTGCGTGGTCACTATTAGGGTAAGATTTTCTATTGGGAGATCGATCTATTAAAGGCTCTTCCTCCTCCTATGTCTGAAATACGCATGCGAGAGCTTGCTGGGTTGCTCTTGGTGGAGGGGGGAAATGTAGGTTCTAGTGGGCTTGCGTCGCCTTCCCAGCCAGCCGTTGGGGTCGTTTCCCCAGTTCGTTCACCGGTTTCTGCTCCTTCTGGTTTTCCTGTGGGTGTACAAGCAGGAAGAGGTAGTGCTCCTATTTGGAAAAGGAGAAGTTTGCGTGTGGTGCCGTCTTCGGATATGGATACATAATTCGATGATGTGGGTCTTCGTCCTCGTAAAGACGATAGGAATGTATCTATAGCCAGGCTTCTTGGCGTATCGAGGGTATTCTTGGCAGTCAATTTTCTGTGCCTGAGTAGAAAGAGATAATGGTGGTGCCTAGTTCTCTGAAGGCGTCACTCTCACCATCCAATGGTTCACCCTTGGTTAATCTCGGTTCCGGCTCTATGTCTGGGGGTACACCGAGTTCACATGGAGTTTCTTTTTAGCGCGAGAAGCCTTCCCTGATCGATGAAATTAGAGCTTTGTCTCACTCCCTGTCTTTCGAGGCCTACGCTCTGGGATGGGCGATTACTAGAGATTAATTACTGTTAGAAGACACTACCACCCAGAATTGGAGTTGATGCGCTTATCCTCTGGCCAAAATGAGTTCGCTTGCAGGTCAGTCAAGTGCTCGTATGGCTAGTGTCCTTTGTTACGCTATAGCCCAGACTTCTGCCCTTATGGTTGCTACTGCCGACCAGGTCTACTTTGTTGGTGCGAACGAGAGGCAATTGAAAGTATTGCAGGGTGCCTTGGCAGGCATATTGGATGAAGTTCTTGATTCAAAGGTGGAGCACCAAGTTCTTGCTGAGCAGAACTGCATTATGGCCTGCGAGAAGGACGATTTAGAGGATCAAGTGGTCACTTTAGAGGACCGATCAAAGCGACTTGAGGACTAAGTGAGTTCTCTTATTTATGAGAAAGGTGCAATGGCAAGTAAGTTGGCCAGTTGCCAACGTCAACTGGCCCATTCTCGTGTTGATGGTGCGGTCACTCGAGGTAGTTTGCAATGGATGCTAGAGAAGAGGTGGTTCGCATAATTGATAAAGTTATTGAGAGCACGAAATCTGACATCGGGATCTAGGGTGTTCATAAAGCATGTGAGGCCCTTGGGTTTGAAAAGGGGAAGCGACTGGGTGGTTGCTCTACAAGTGTCGGATAACCTAAAGTCCCAGATCCTGGCCATATGCCTGACAATTGGGTTGGGTGCGGGTTTGCGGGTCACGGGTTGGCGGGTCAGAATACATTGACCCAACCCAACCCATATAATATATAGGTTGGTGGGTTGGCAGGTCACGGGTTGACGGGTTGAAAACATCAACCCAACCTAACCCATATAACCCGTATAAGTATATGGGTTCATGGGTCAGTGGGTCAGATCCAACCCGTATCACCCATTTAATAAACAATACATTTTGAAATAAAATTAAAAATACAAATAAAATGAAGTCATAAATTCTTAAATATTCAGCATAAAGTCATAAACAGGAGTGACGACGACGAGTGGTGTGTGACAGCCGGAGGACGAGAAGACAAGTGGTGTGCGTGCGACACTACGACAGTCAATGACTTGATGCCTCAATTGACGCAGATGGGAGACACGGAGTCGTGAGTTTGGAGACTGAAGACTGAATATCTTTTTTATTAGGGGTTAGGGGATGCTAAGTGGACTCGAAGATGTTTTTCAATTTTAGGATTCGGAAAACGATTAAACGACAATCAAATATTCAATTAAATATATTTTTAAACATAATATATATATATATATATATATATATATATATATATATATATATATATATATATATAATCGTGTTGGCGGGTTGACCCGTGAACCCAAACAGGTAACCCAACCCAACCCATGAAATAAACGGGTTGGTGGGTTGGTGGATTGGCGGGTTAAAAATCTAAACCCAAACCCGTTTATTTCGTGTTGGGTCAGTGTCGGATTACAGGTTGGGTTGAGGATTTCCAGCCTACATGGCCGTGTTGGGGCTGAAGAGGTGGATACCGCTCTATCGTCCCTAGCTGAGACGGATTTCGTGGGCCTCTTTCACTTGGGGGAGCTGGATTATGACGGCTTCCGCTATTTTTGTTGTAGGCCGAATCCAGGAGGTTCTTCCTCAAACTTCAAGAGCTAATTTGTGTCTTGCCTTTTTGTTCGTTGTGTAGTTGCCTTTCTATGTACTATGTTTATAGTAAAAGATGTTAGTCGTTAATAACTATAAACTGTGTATTTTGTTTTGTACTTTTTCCTAGAAGTGTTTTCTTCCGTTTTCTAGTTGTATGTATACACATTCATGTTAACACATATATTATGATTTGTCCAATGGTATCCTTAAGGACAGACTATTCTACTGCACACTCCCTTGTTCTAGGGTTTGCGTTAATCGACTAATGTGTGCTTCAGATGTTGCATAGTTGCTATTATTGAGCCATGCTCCGTTGATTTGTATGCCAATACATAGGCCGAGATCATCACTTCAAGACCTTTTACTGTTATAATATAAGGGAAAGGTTATGAATCTTTTAGAACCCCTTGTACCATGCCATTAATTTTGATTTACACACTCTCAGTTCTGAGATGTTATTGGCACATTATAGGTAAAGAGTATGACTCTTTTAAGACCCCCGATTGCATCCTTGCATAGATTTAGTTCAAGTAGCATATGTGATCAGTCGTTGTTACTACTTGGAAAATATGCACAACCTCTATACTTTGTGTTTTTGCAATACAGAATTCTGGAAATCTTTTTCAATATGCAAATTATATTATTTCTTGACAGGGAAAGAAAGATATAAGCAATTGTGACATCCCAGAATTTAGGGCTAAATCAGTAAAGAGATAGTTCTCTGTGAAACAAAATGTAGTGAACCTACACCATAGTGTCTCGATGATTTTATGTACAAATGAGATCCTACTATTCACAAGTGCCTTCAGGATACCTCAAAATGCTCAAAAGTTAATCGTCATCATCAAACAGGAAACAATTCAAAAATCGAAGAGACTTGATGCCCTAAAAATCATTTTTATGCATTTGACCTGCATAGGGGACATGAATGATAAAATTTGATAGAACATCTTCTCAGGTTTCCGTGGATATAAAAAACTTCCAAAACGGAGATTGTATGAGAAAGTTATGCAATTTCTAGGTACTTTTATCCTAAACCGAAAGCAGATTCGCAAAAAATTATGAATCGAAAGCCGATTGACGCAAAACTTCGAATGTCGTTTCACGGAGATCCGTATATTGAATTCGAATTCCGCTTGAATATTTGAAATCATTGTGACCGTAACATTCTCCATACACTTTCGAAATATTTGTACAAGCCCCAAAACCGACATCACAGAAATCGAGCTAAATAATAAATGAAAGTCAACCCTTTTATTTAAGTTCATACCCACCCAACTTTTGTTACTGTAATATCAATTTTTGTATATATATATATATATATATATATATATATATATATATATATATATATATATATATATATATATATATTTACGTATTGCCCTATCACTCTCTTTCTACCCTTTCTCTACTCTCTCACTATTGTCCCTCTAAATCTCTCATCTATCACCTGTTGGTTATTTTGATAACCAAAAACATAAATGCGGAAGCATGAACTTTGGATCTTTAAACTCGAATCTGATTAAAAGAAAACTTAAACAATATAATAACGATTACATACTTGATTTCATTATAATCTTCGGATCTAAAGAACTAGGGTTGGGTTTTCCAGTTGATCTCAAGAGCTCTCTTTAGAATCCCTCAGCAAACCCTAAACGATTTACATGTGTATTTTTTGGTGTCTTGATTTCTCCTATTGACATGTATATATAGATGGAGATATACCCTAATGTGAGAGATGGAAGGGATCTTAAGGATCTTGAGTCAAACCGGGAACTCAATCCACAAGGTAAGTTAATATTCTATAAATCGGTCCATCAACAATTTATATTCTTACCATAATAATTTGATTTAATAATATATCGTACATATTTATAAAGTGGTCCCACAATTATCCAACAATCTCCCATTGGATCACAAATATATAAATGTACGTATAATTGTATAAGCGCTTTAACGAATGTTATTATAACATTGGTACCTTTAAACAATCTCGTCCACTAATCATAATAGTATAGGATCAAAGTGGCCTTCGTTACAATTTACGTAACTAAACCTATCAATGGTCACATATACATATATAACTAACTTAAAGTGAGATCAAACTTCAAATAAGTGCAACTAATAATGGAGTTGACTGAATTCTAAATTTTGTACAAAAAAACATAATTGTTGTTTAAATAACACATAAAGCACCATAAAACGCCCACTAAAACCAAATATCAAACCAACGTGTGTAGTATGCTCATGAAAAACCTAGGGAGGTAATCCCTTTATGAGCGGATCCACTTATTAAGTTTGTTCATATGTGTTATATGTATTTCCATTTTGCACTACTGTATTAACAGAAGGAAACTTGATGTCAATATGCTTTCACTTAATAGAACTTATGTTATTGGAATATAACATTGTTGACTTATTATCACAACTTTAATGGTTTTTCAATACCAATATTGTGCAACCTCGTGACAAATTTCCGCAACCATATTCCATGCTAAAAATTTATGCTGCCATTATGGAAGAAGCTACTAAAGTATAGTCCATTAAATGGCTCATCATGCTAAAAAGTAAAAGTATCCCGATATGGATCGATAACCATTTTGGCATCTAATAAAATCATATTCTTAATAAAAAATGATCTCCAAAACATCTGTTTTCCTATAGTTTAGCATTTAGCCTTTTGTTATATATAGATATCTTAAAATCCATTTGGCTACTTTATTATGATCCAAAATTAGGTTCGTAGATATCTGCCCAAAACCAAAAAGATGAATTTACTCCCACTTAATCTGTGATACACAAAATCATCTATTGTATTTATCTCAAAACCAAAAGAGATAATAAATTGATGAAAAATGTGGAACCACACATAGGATATCAAAAGTTGAGGTTGTTAAGTTTGTGTATTCTAAATAGGAGACTGAATAACATTGTTGATCACTGATTCATAATCTGCATATTATCGAATGCAATAATAGGAATCAAGATTGATTCCTCCTTAAGGACAATGTTTTAACCTTGTTTCTCCCCAAAATCAACATCCTCGAACAATGTTGTTATATCCAAAATGCAAGGTCAATATCCATGCAATTGAGAACTAACATAATGTCTTCATTCCATTACTTAAAGTTAATCTCATTTAGTACATGAATCATAGATGTGATCAATGTTAATAGATATAATACCATAATTCAAACATAAGCAAATATGTTTTTATGCTCATTAATCCATAAACCGTAATCAATAAATTCAATTTATGACATCGTTACAAGGTATCAACACAACATTAATATCAAGTCTTTGGATAGTAATACTAACTTGCAAAAGATATCATTGTTTTAGAGATAAACATTGACAATAAATCATGTCAATTAATAAGCCCCTATTTGGATTGATTTATTAATCACATGGAACCAAAAAAAATCACCACAAGTTTATCACCACATATATATTTATTAAGCCAAATATTAGTCTACCTTTGGGTTGACTAATATCCGCATTAATAAACACATAAACTATAAATCTTAATAATAAGAATTGATAATATATAATGTCAATTAATAAGCATCTCTTTGGATTGACTTGTTAATGACATGTAACATAACAATTGTCATATATTTATCATGAAACATGTGTTTATCTGGCCAAATATTAACCTACATTTGGATCGATTAATATCCGCATTAATTAACAAATAAACCATAAAATCTAATAATAAACATCGGCAATAAATAATATCATTTAATAACTCATTCTTTAGATTA